GCGCGTCGAACAAGCACACAATCGCGGTGCTGGTCATTGAGCCGGCGGTGGTCTCCGAACTCATCGTCATCGCACATTGCGCGCGTTCGTGACAAGCCATCGGCGCGAAACGCGACAGTCGCAAGATTTTTTGCCCCTAAAGAGACGACATGGAGCGTGATGGGTGGAGTGGAACGACGAGCTTAGGGGGCGGCGACAGAGGGGGGACAGGATCCTATTCTCTACAAGCAGCTACTATGCTGAATCCAAGACCCATCCCAAAATCGGGGGGGGGGGGGGTGGGGGGAGCTTTCGGGGTGTGTTCGAAGTTACAGTCTGAGCGGGCAAAGTACCTTCGACGGGTCGCATCGGAACGACAAGAGCCCAAGTAGAGGAAATGACGGAGCGGCGTGTTTTCTAGTTTCCAATTCAATGGGCAGTGGTTTTGACAGCGCATCGCTCCGCGCTCGCGTCCAATATTTTTGGGGCATTCTCCGTTCCCCTTTTGAGGCTACAATTACAGATTGTTTTTCATGTTACGGGATATTACAAATTTATTCGTCGAGTCCATAGCAAACGCGCAACTTGGGACAGAAAAATAAACCCTCATGGATGGCATGCCACGTAAAGGGCATCAACCCTAACACCATGAGACAGGTGTTTAGGGTTGATGCCTCCCAAATGGCTTGTCATCCGAGTGGGTTTTAGTTTTTCCTCTGGCCTATACTGAAACCAGGTAAACTTGATATTTTCCTTTCTATACATCTGGTCACGAAAAATGGGAAATAGCAATTCAAACTGCCCGCAAGAATCGGGCGCAAGCGCGAAGATAGTCGCTATCAAAGCCACTACCGAAAGGAATCGAAAACGCGCAACACGGCGGTCCGTCATTTCCTCGCCCAAGCAGCTTCGGAACTCTCGGAACTGCTAGGTTAGCAGCTTCAGGTAACTCCCGACCGTTGACGCGCCAGGTGGCAGCTTCGAAATCGCATCTCAGCCTCGACACACACGATGGAGGCCTGTAACAGAGCAGCTCGTGTCCTATTGGCTTTGGGCCTCGAACATTGAGTGCGATAAATCTAATATCTGTACATTTGTTGTAAAAACATTGAATGGGAAACATATACGTTCATAGCAATTGTTGTGCTCTGAAGTTTTCATTAAGAGTGGATAATGTATACCTATTCACAGCAATTGCCAAAACTGCTTGAAATTGGGGTGTTTGCTTTGGATAATATAGATACACTTTGAATTTATTCACTGTAAACAAAACATCTATTATATTCTATAACAGTGCTCTAATGTTGCTACGGTATGATGCCTTGTGAATGTTACGGTACCTGCTTAGGGTTATGTTAGACATTGTGCCTATCCCTGCATGCCTTTCCCTTGTCGCTTGTTTGAATCAGCATATCAAACTACGTTGTATAGCGAATGGCACCATAGTTGGATTGGATTGTATGCTAGTAACATAGTGACTCGCCTAATCATCAAAAGAAACAATGTAAAAAAAAAAAAAAAAAAAAAACAACAAGACATTGAAACGGCACCACTTGTGCTCAGTATCTATCCTTGCATGCTTTTCCCTATTCACTATTTGTTCAAATCAGCACATCTATGCATAGGTTGGGCAGTCATGTCACACTAAGTGGTTTAGTGTCATGTTTGTATTTTTTGTCAAACTTATATGCTTTAGTCTGTAGGCTGTGTCAAATCATAATGTTCTGTAGGCTGTAGTGGTTGCATATTTCTAGGGTTGCATATTTGTACCACATTCCATTCCTTAGTGCACTCATTCTCGTTTCAATCTTCACATGGTATCGAGCAGGTTCCCTCGTGGGAACTGTGCGTAGGGCCCACCAAGTCGAAAGTTTTTTTTCCTGCCCGGAGCGCGCTCTGCCCAAGTCGCGCTCCCTTCTCTGACTTCGTCGAGCCGCCCTAGCGGCCAAGTCGCGCCGCCTTAGCGGCCCCTGATTCGTCGCCCTAGCGACCCCGTTGCCCTACCTACGACCCCGGCCCCGTCGCCCTACCTGCGCCCCGGCCCCGTCGCCCTACCTGCGCCTCGGCCCCGTCGCCCTAACCTGCGCCCCCGGCCCCGTCGCCCTACCTGCGCCCCGGCCCCGTCGCCCTACCTGCGACCCCGGCCCCGTCGCCCCCCCCCCCCCCCCCCCTTGCGACCCTGGCCCCGTCGCCATATCTGCGGCCCCGGCCCTAGCCCCGTCGCCCTAACCTGTTGCCCCGGCCCCGGCCCCGTCGCCCTACCGTCGACCCGGCCCCGTCGCCCTACCGTCGACCCGGCCCCGTCGCCCTACCTACGGCCCGGCCCCGGCCCCGTCGCCCTGCCTACGGCCCGGCCCCGTCGCCCTACCTACGGCCCGGCCCCGTCACCCTACCTACGGCCCGGCCCCGGCCCCGTCACCCTACCTACGGCCCGGCCCCGGCCCGTCGCCCTACCTTCGACCTGGCCACGTCGCCTACCTGCGCCCCGGCCCCGTCGCCCTACCTTCGACCCGGCCCCGTCGCCCTACCTATGGCCCCGCCCGAACCGCCTACGCAGCCGAGCCGCCCGCGCCGCTCAGCAGCCCGAGCCGCCCGTTCCGCCCAAGCCGCCCGAGCCGCCCGAGCCGCCCGAGCCGCCCGAGCCGCCCGAGCCACCCGAGTCGCCTGAGCAGCTGAGGAGCCGAGCCGCGGGTGCCGCCGAGCCGCAGTTGCTGCCGAGCCGCCCGAGCTGCCCGAACCGCCCTGTCTGGTGAGCGCAGCGCCTCTGTCACTGCACTACCCCTGCTCTACAGTCAGCGCTGCTAGTCTACTATTGTCATGGCTACCCCTAGTGTCCTCGCTTTTGACGCCGAGGGTCGAGCCATTGACTTTGACGTCTGGGTAGATGACCTGCAGCTATTCTTACAGTGCGATAGGGCAGACGGTCTCTCCCTCTTTGACCTCACCTCTGGTGCCTCTCCTGTTCCTGCTGCTGATGCTGACGCCACTTTTCGCTCACAGTGGGCCACGCGCGATGCTGCTGCACGTCTTGCTGTGCGTAGCCACCTCCCTACCTCTTAGCGTGCGCACTTTAGTCAGTACAAGAGTGCTCAGACCTTATACGACGCTGTAGTTGCACGCTACTCCTCCCCTGCCATTGCTGCACTCAGCCGTCTCATGCTACCGTACCTCTTCCCTGACCTTGCTGCCTTTCCCACAGTCGCTGACCTCATTACGCACCTCCGCACTAGTGACACTCGCTACCGCGCTGCGCTTCCTGCTGACTTCTGCGCCAAGAACCCCCCCCCCCATGTACATCACTCTCTACTACAAAGTCACTCGCCTCCCTGACTCCCTTCGCGTAGTCAGGGACCACTTCCTCTCAGTTTGTCCCACCACTCTCACTGTTGACCTCCTCGAGAAGTCCCTCCTAGCGGCCGAAAAGAGCATAGTCGCTGTAGGGGCCTCTCGTGGTGACCCGCGCACCCCCATCTTTGAGGGGTGTTCCCCCTCCCCCCTTCTGCCCTCTGTTGCCTCTGCCGCTGCGGCCGACCTCCTTGGTTTTGAGTCGGTCGGTGCGGCGTCTGCCCCTAGCGGGAGACGCTGCTCTGGCAGGGGCAAGAAGGGCAGGGGCACTGGAGGAGCGAGCGGGGGCGGTGGAGGTGGAGGTGGAGGCGGCGGGGGGAGTGGGGGTGGCGGTGGGAGTGGAGGTGAGGGTTGAGGTGTCGGTGGCAGCAGTGGAGGCGGAGGCGGCGGCGGCGGTGGCGGTGGGAGCGGAGGTGGCGGAGGTGGTGGCGGTGGAGGAGGCGGCGGAGGCAGCGGGTAGTAGCGGAGGCGCGGAGGCGGCGGAGGCGGCGGAGGCGGCGGGGGTGGCGGTGGAGCTGGTCGCGAATCTACGCAGAGGAGTGGCTCCGGTGGTGGTCCGCGCCAGCAGCAGCAACGCGGTCGTGAGACCTTGTCCCCTCAGCAGCTCCGTGAGTGGTACACTGCCACGCCAGCGGGTGGGGGCTTTGGTCCGTGCACCTACGTCCCTGCGCACCGGCGACCGTGCGGGTGAGCAATGTGGGGGTGCGCACCCCACCCAGCGCTGCTTTGGCCGCCTGACTGACGCGTGGCGTCACCAGTTCCCCGGAGGCCACAGAGATCCCTCCCTGGGGCGAGCTGTCTAGGGCGGGAGTTGCCGTCTATGATCTTGATTTGATGCTATCCTTTCTGCCATGTATGCTGTGTCTATTAGTGATGAGGGTGACTGTTACCGGTGTTTCCCGCCCGACCCGGGCATTGAGACTGCTGCTCTAAGTACTAGTGAGGCTGCTGCTCTAGGTGCCAGTGAGGCTGCTGCTCTAGGTGCCAGTGAGTCTGCGCTCCGCAGGTACCGCGTCGGCTTTGGCCTCCCTCACCTTTACACTTGACTCAGGGGCTTCTCGCTCCTTCTTTCGAGACCGCACCACACTCACGCCGCTTGGTCGGCCGAGTTGCAGTCTCCCTGGCGGACCCCTCTGGGGGTCCTGTCCTTTCTCACTTCTCCACTGACCTCCCGTGATCGGCGGCCCCCTCTGGCACCTTGTCTGGTCTTTACCTCCCCTCATTCTCTACGAACCTGGTGAGTGGTGCTGACCTACAGGATGCGAGGGTTCACCAGTTTACTCGTGCGAGTCAGCGGGTGACCCACTTCTCGGACGCTCGCACAGGCCGGCACTTGGCCACGTTTACGCGTCGGCCGGGGTCGAGCCTATACACCCTGACCACTGAGTCTCCTCCCGTCACTGCGTCTGGCCTGGTCGCTCTGCGTCGGGTCAGGTGTTTGCTGCAGCGTCCAGGTCTGGTCCTGAGTCTGCCCCCTGCTCGTGTCGCCTCTGTCTCACGAGACTCTCCTCTGGCACCCACCCGCCTTGGTCACCCCTCCCTGCCTCGTCTCCGAGGCATGGCCTCCCGTTGTCCTTGTCTCTGGTCTTCCCCGGTCCCTCCCTCCCCTTCTCCGAGGCCTGGCCCCATCTGCGTCTCCTGTGTCGAGGGGCGGCTTGCGGGCTGCCCCTCACTCCTCTCCGTTTCCCCCGACAGAGGCCCCGCTGCAGACGCTTCACATGGACGTGTGGGGCCCGGCCCGCGTCCGTGGACAGGGTCACGAGCGCTACTTCCTGCTGGTGGTTGACGACTACTCGCGTACACCACAGTCTTCCCCTTGCGCAGCAAGGGTGATTTCACTGAGGTGTTGATCGACTGGATCCGCACAGCTCGTCTCCAGCGCAGGAGGAGCTTCGGCTCGGACTTTTCTGTTCTGCGTCTGCACTCTGACCGAGGCGTGTCAGATTATTATAGTTGATGCATGTTTGTAGGCTATAGTGGGGTAGCACATATGGGGTACAGCTTTCTAGGGTTGTATTTGTACCCAACCCTGACTTAGTCATTTCATTCCTGGTCAATTTATTTCACATGGTATAGAGCGAGTTCCCTGTGGGAACGTTGCCTAGGGCCCACCGAAGCGCGCCCCGAGGCGCGCATTTTTTTTCGCGACCCCTCGAGTCGCCCTTTCCCTCGTGGCCCCGCCGTCCCTCAGACGCGGCCCCGCCACCCCTTCTGATCGCGGCCTCGCCACCCGATCCCGGCCCCGCCGCCACGTCGCGGCCCCGCCTCCTAATCGCGGCCCCGCCTCCTGATCGCGGCCCCGCCGCCCGCTACGACGCGGCCCCGCCGCCCTGCTCTGACGCGGCCCCGCCGCCACCTCTTACGCGGCCCCGCCGCCAACTCTGACGCGGCCCCGCCGCCCACTACGACGCGGCCCAGCCGCCGACTACGCCGCGGCCCCGCCGCCCGCTACGCCGCCGGCCCCGCCGCCTGCTCAGCCGCGGCTCCGCCGCCCTCTCTGCCGGCTCCGCCGCTCCACCAGCCGCGGCCCCGCCGTCCCCGCCGCTGCACCTGCCGGCCCTGCTCCTTCGGCCCCGCTGCCCCTGATCTCGCGGCCCCGCCACCCGAGCCGCCCACCTGCAGAAGCCGAGCAGCAGTGCAGCCGAGCCGCCCCGCACCCGAGCCGCCCTGCCGCCGAGCCGCCCGGGAGCCGAGCCGCCCTACACCCGAGCCGCCCTGCCACCGAGCCGCCCGGGAGCCGAGCCGCCCTGAACCAGAGCCGCCCTGCCGCCGAGCCGCCCGGGAGCCGAGCCGCCTTGCAGCCGAGTCGCTGAGTCGCCGAGCCGCCCTTCTGCAGAGTTGTCCGGCCTGCCCTACCTGGTGAGCACAGTCCCACTGTCACTTCGTGCTCTTCCCCTACTGCTTGCACTGCGTCGCTGTCGTCGTTATGGCTACCCCTAGTGTCCTAGCTTTTGACGCTGAGGGTCGCGCCATTGACTTTGAGGTCTGGGTAGACGACCTGCAGTTGTTTTTTACAGTGTGATAGGGCAGACGGCCTCTCTCTCTTTGACCTTACCTCTGGCGCCTCTCCTGCTCCTGCTGCTGATGCTGATCCCACTGTGCGCTCTCAGTGGGCCACCCGCGATGCTGCTGCACGTCTTGCTGTGCGTCGCCACCTCCCTACCTCTAAGCGCGCGCACTTTAGTCAGTACAAGAGTGCTCAGACCTTGTACGACGCTGTAGTTGCGCGCTACTCCTCCCCTGCCACTGCTGCACTGAGCCGTCTCATGCTTCCCTACCTCTTTCCTGACCTCTCTGCCTTTCCCACTGTCGCTGACCTCATTACGCACCTCCGCACTAGTGACACTCGCTACCGCGCCGCCCTTCCTGCTGAGTTCTGCGCTAAGAGCCCCCCCCCCATGTACATCACTCTCTACTACGTAGTCGCACGCCTCCCTGACTCTCTTCGCGTAGTCAGGGACCACTTTCTCGCAGTCTGTCCCACCACCCTCACCGTCGACGTCCTCAAGAAGGCCCTCCTAGCAGCGGAGAAGAGCATAGTCGCTGTAGGAGCTTCTCGTGGAGACCCTCGCACCCCCATCTTTGAGGGGTGCTCTCCTTCCCCCTTGCTGCCCTCTGTTGCCTCTGCTGCTGCTGCCGACCTGCTTGGTCTTGAGTCAGTCGGCGCGGCGTCTGCCCCTAGTGGGAGACGTCGCTCTGGCAAGGGCAAGGGGGGCAAGGGTGCGGGTGGAGCTGGGGGGGGCGGTGGCGGTGGCGGCGGAGGCGGCGGAGGGAGTGGGGGTGGCGGCGGGAGTGGTGGCGGAGGTGGTGGTGGTGGTGGCAGCAGCGGCGGAGGCGGCGGTGGTGGTGGCAGCGGTGGTGGTGGTGGCAGCGGCGGAGGTGGAGGCGGCGGAGGAGGCAGCGGAGGAGGCGGTGGTGGTGGAAGGGGTGGAGCTGGTCGGGGTGGTACCCAGCAGCGGAGCGGCGGTGGTGGTGGCCAGCGCTCGCAGCAGCAGCAGCAGCAGCGTTCGCGGGACATCCCTCCGCCTCAGCAGCTTCGTGAGTGGTACACTCAGCGTCAGAGGGGTGGGGGTACTGGTCCTTGCACCTACGTCCTTCGTTCCGGCGACCGCGCGGGTGAGCAAAGTGGGGGTGCCCACCCCACTCAGCGCTGTTTTGGCCGCCTGACGGACGCTTGGCGTCAGCAGTTCCCCGGGGCTAGTGAGATCCCTCGCTGGGATGAGCTTCTTAGGGCTGGTGTAGCGATCTTTGATCTTGATTTTGATGCTATCCTTGCTGCTATGTATGCTGTGACTATTAGTGAGGAGACTGAGGGTTACCGGTGTTTCCAGCCCGACCCGGGCATTGGTACTGCTACGCTAGGTGCTTGTGAGGCTGCTGCTCTAGGTGCCAGTGCGTCTGCGCTCTCAGGTACTCGTGAGACTGCGCTCTCAGGTACTGCGTCGCCCTCGTCCTCCCTTACTTTCACACTTGACTCTGGGGCTTCTCGCTCCTTCTTTCGAGACCGCACCACCCTTACGCCGCTTGGCCGGCCGGTTGCCGTCTCCCTGGCTGACCCCTCTGGGGGTCCTGTCCTCTCTCACTTCTCCACTGTCCTCCCGTGTCCGGCTGCCCCTTCGGGCACCCTGTCTGGTCTGTACCTTCCCTCGTTCTCTACGAACTTGGTGAGTGGCGCGGACCTGCAGGATGTGGGGGTTCACCAGTTCACTCCTGCGAGTCAGCGGGTGACCCACTGCACGGAGGCACGCACAGGCCGACACCTAGCCACGTTCTCGCGTCGGCCGGGGTCGAGTCTCTACACCCTGACCGTTGAGTCTCCTCCTGTCCCTGCGTCTGGTCAGGTGGCTGCGTCAGGTCAGGTGCTTGCTGCTGCGTCCCGGTCAGGTCCTGAGTCTGCCCCCTGTTCTTGTCGCCTCCTGTCTCACGAGACTCTCCTTTGGCACCACCGTCTTGGCCACCCCTCCTTGCCCCGTCTTCGGAGCATGGCTTCCCGTGTCCTTGTCTCTGGTCTTCCCCAGTCTCTCCCTCCCCTTCCCTCCGGGCCAGGACCTTCCTGTGTCCCCTGTGTCGAGGGTCGCCTCCGGGCTGCTCCTCACTCCTCCCAGTTCCCCCCGACAGAGGCTCCTCTGCAGACGCTTCACATGGACGTGTGGGGCCCAGCCCCCGTCCGTGGGCAGGGTCACGTGCGCTACTTTCTGTTGGTGGTTGACGACTACTCGCGTTACACCACAGTCCTCCCCTTGCGCAGCAAGGGTGCTGTCACTGAGGTGCTGATCGACTGGATCCGCGAGGCTCGTCTCCAGCTCAGGAAGAGCTTCGGCTCGGACTTTCCTGTTCTGCGTCTGCACTCGGACAGAGGCGGAGAGTTCTCCTCGCGCCTTCTGCGAGACTACTGTCGTGCACGGGGGATCCGCCAGACCTTCACGCTTCCGGACTCTCCACAGCAAAATGGGATTGCTGAGCGCCGCATTGGCATGGTCATGGATGTCGCTCGTACGTCCATGATGCATGCGGCTGCCCCCCATTTTCTGTGGCCGTTTGCGGTGAGGTACGCGGCGCATCAGCTCAACCTTCACCCCAGGGTCTCTCGGCCCGCGATGTCCCCAGTCTTGCTCTGGACGGGGAAGGTTGGCGATGCGTCGGCGTTCCGTGTCTGGGGATCTCGGGCGTTTGTCCGCGACTTGTCTGCGGACAAGCTGTCCCCTCGTGCTGCTCCCTGTGTCTTCCTTGGCTTCCCCACTGACGCTCCAGGGTGGCAGTTTTACCACCCCTCCTCTCGTCGTGCTCTGTCCTCCCAGGACGTCACGTTCGACGAGTCAGTCCCCTTCTACCGCCTCTTCCCCTACCGCACTCCTTCCCTCCCCCCTTCGCCGGACTTCCTTGTGCCGGTTCCCCCCCCCGGTAGACCCCCTCCCCCCTCAGGTTCCTGCCCCCTCAGGTGTGTCCCAGGTAGACGCAGTTGACCCGGTCGAGGTTACTGGTGACTCTGGAGCTGCTGCGGGTGCTGAGCCTGGGGGTGCTGACTCTGGGGGTGCTGTGCGCAGGGGTGCCGGGCCTGGAGGTGCTGCTGAGCCTGGGGGTGCTGAGTTGGGAGCTGCTGAGCCTGGGGGTGCTGAGCCTGGGGTTTCTCCTGCTGCTGCGTCTCGACGGGAGCCCCTCTCTCCACAGGAGCTGCGCGAGTGGTTTGCTCGCCGCTGGAGGCGTGCTGCTGGAGCTGGAGCTTCTTCGACCGTCGAGGGTGCTGGTGCTGCCGGTCCCGGAGCTGCTGGGCCTGCGGGTCCTCCTGGAGCTGGAGCTGCTGAGGGTGTTGGTGCTGAGACCACTGCTGTCTGTCCTCGCGGTGGTTCTGCTGCTGGTACTGCTGGAGGTCCTGCCGCTGGAGGTGTTGGTGGCGCTGGTGCTGTCGCTGAGGGTGCTGGTGCTGTCCCTGCTGAGTCTGGAGCTGCCGCGCGGCCTCGGCCGTACTTCGTTCCGCTCCTGCAGCAGGTTCTTGGTCTTTCTCCTCCGGTCGAGTGTCCACAGCCTGTCCAGTCGCAGTCACTGTTGGAGCCTTCCTCTCCTCTGCCTGCTCCCTCTCCTTACACTGGTCCTACTGGAGGTCTTACTGAGCGTCGTGAGCCTGCGTCTCGTCCTGCGTCGCATGTTCGTGCTGCTCGCGCTAGTGGTCGCGGTTCGCGTCAGCGTCCTCCTCCTGTCCCTGGCACGCACCGGATGTCTCTGCGTCAGTCCACTGCTCCTCTGCGTGCCCCTTTGCCTTCTCCTCCTGAGTCCTCTCTTCCTGCGCTTGCCGACCCTGAGTCGGACTCTCTTCGTGCTGCCACTCCTACTGTCACGCGTCTGCTTGCTACTGTCGTCACTGACCCCTCGTTTGAGTCCACTGCTGCGTCTGCTCTTGTCACTGAGCTCGTCGACTTTGCTGCTCGCTGTCGTCTAGACTACGCTGCTAGTCTTGTTGCTGAGTCTGCGTCTGTCTGTCCTCCGTCCGTCGGGGGTGAGTGTGCTCTTGGCACGGACGTCCTAGAGGACAGGCAGGAGGAGTTACAGTGTTTGGCTGCTGCTTCACCTCATCTCGCGTCTGTACTGCTTGCTCCTGAGGGAGACCCGGATGCACTAGACATCCCGACTCCGCGCTCTTACGCGGAGGCCGTAGAGGGTCCCTACTCCTCTCAGTGGCAGGCAGCTATGGATGCAGAGATGGCTTCCTGGAAGTCCACAGGCACCTACGTTGACGCAGTTCCCCCTCCTGGGGCGAACATCGTCAGTGGCATGTGGATCTTCCGGGTGAAGCGGCCGCCGGGCTCTCCACCTGTCTTCAAGGCGCTGAACGTTGCTCGTGGCTTCAGCCAGCGGCAGGGAGTTGACTACTTTCAGACCTTCTCTCCCACCCCGAAGATGACCACTCTTCGGGTGCTGCTGCACATAGCCGCTCAGCGCGACTACGAGCTTCACTCTCTCGACTTCAGCACTGCGTTCCTGCAGGGTAGCCTGCACGAGGAGATCTGGCTGCGCCGTCCACCTGGCTTCACTGGGACTTTCCCTTCTGGTACCCAGTGGAGCCTCCGACGGCCAGTCTACGGTCTCCGCCAGGCACCGCGTGAGTGGCACGACACACTGAGGACTACGCTTGCGGCTCTTGGGTTTGCTCCCTCTACTGCTGACCCATCGCTGTTTCTGCGCACCGACACTTCACTGCCGCCGTTCTACATCCTCGTGTACGTCGACGACTTGGTCTTTGCCACAGCGGACACTGCTGGACTCGCCTACGTGAAGTCCGAGCTACTGAAGAGACACACGTGCACAGACCTGGGTGAACTGCGCAGCTACCTTGGCTTGCAGATCACTCGGGACAGAGCACGCCGCACCATCGCCTTGACTCAGTCACACATGGTGCAGCAGGTCCTTCAGCGCTTCGGCTTCACGTACTCCTCGCCTCAGGCCACTCCTCTGTCTACTCGCCACTCACTCTCAGCTCTGCCTTCGGATGAGTCCGTAGAGTCGAGTGGCCCGTACCCAGAGCTTGTTGGCTGCCTCATGTACCTGATGACCTGCACACGACCTGACCTTGCATACCCTCTGAGCATTCTTGCACGCTATGTTGCTCCTGGGAGACACCGACCAGAGCACATGGCTGCAGCGAAGAGGGTATTGCGCTACCTGTGCAGTACGTCGGGCATGGGGCTAGTGCTTGGAGGGCGGAGTCCAGTGGTCCTTACAGGCCACGCGGACGCTTCTTGGGCTGACGACCAGGCTACGCAGCGGTCGTCACAGGGTTACACCTTCAGTCTTGGTTCCGGCTCTGTCTCGTGGCGGTCTACTCGTTCGTCTTCGGTTCTCAGCTCCAGTTGTGAGGCTGAGATCTACGCCGGGGCCATGGCTGCACAGGAGCTTCGCTGGCTCACCTACCTGCTGACTGACCTTGGAGAGCCGCCTCGTTCTCCTCCAGTGCTGTACGTAGACAACAAGGCCATGCTGGCCTTGTGTCGAGAGCAGCGCTTGGAGCACAGAACGAAGCACATTGCTCTCCGCTACTTCCTTGCTCGTGAGCTGCAGCAGCGTGGTCAGTTGCGACTTGCGTACGTGGCCTCTGAGGCCAACACTGCTGATGTGTTCACCAAGGCACTCGCGCCTTGTGACCATCAGCGCTTCTGCACCCAGCTGGGTCTTGTGTCTATCTTGCCTCACTTGCTCTCTTCTTGACTTTACTTGTTCTGTGACATATATATACCTGCTCTTGCTTGTCTAGTTTTATATATATGTCTGTACTCCTGCATGTGAACTGGCCTCTGGCCCTGCTCTTGTGCTCGGACTGTGTGGTGACTTTGTGATCCACCCTGAGCTTGCTTTGCTTTGCTTTGCTTGACTGGTCTTGTGACCCCTTGTTCTCCCCCACTTTGCCTATGGGGGTGTGTCAGATTATTATAGTTGATGCATGTTTGTAGGCTATAGTGGGGTAGCACATATGGGGTACAGCTTTCTAGGGTTGTATTTGTACCCAACCCTGACTTAGTCATTTCATTCCTGGTCATTTATTTTCACAAGGCGCAGAGTTCTCCTCTGGCCTTCTGCGAGCCTACTGTCGTGCGCGAGGCATCCGCCAGACCTTCACGCTTCCGGACTCTCCACAGCAAAATGGGATTGCTGAGCGCCGCATTGGCATGGTCATGGACGTCGCCCGTACATCCATGATGCATGCGGCTGCCCCCCATTTTCTGTGGCCGTTTGCGGTTCGGTACGCGGCGCATCAGATCAACCTTCACCCCAGGGTCTCCATGCCGGAGACCTCCCCAGCTTTGCTGTGGACGGGGAAGGTAGTGATGGAAAGCGAGCGAATCTGGAGAGCGGACAAGAGATTAAGTCCGCCGACTTCGACGGAACATTGCGTGCAGCTCACGTAATCTTAAACTATGAGGAGGTACGCGTTAGAAAGGTCTTTAGCTCTACTTTCCAGAATGGTAACGCACGCTTTCAACAAAGATCTAGGCCGATAGCTATCGCGATCTAAGTGTGACGGTGTATCCTGGCGGAATTACTAGGCAGCCATGAATTAGTTCAAGAAAGTAGCTTTAGCAAGAGTTCAGATCTGAAAAGTGACGAGTTGTTCAAACCCTACCAACCCAACCCTCGCCCTACAACAGTCCCCAACAACCCAAAGTGCTAAACTAGCAACACCAAAGGTGTTGTAGTGAATAGCAAAGGTTTGTTGGTGCTTGTTGGTTGCGAGATCAATACCAGCCCGCAACAAGTCTAACCACCACATTTTGCCCAAACCCTTAGCCCACAACCAGCTAGAGCAAAAATACCACAACCACCTACACAATCAACACTCCCCCTTGCTCGTGCTGGAGGTGGCTGAACACCACTGGGCAAAATCCTTCACTTCACTCCCCCTTGCCCAGGGAAGGGCGCCATCCATAGCATGAGGTCGTCAATGCAGAGAAGCACCAGTCCTCCCACATCCTGCTCAGGCACCATGCTGACATGGGGCTGCATCCCCATCAAGGACATGCACACACCATGCCGCTCAAAAGGAAGGGGTTTGGTGAGTATGTCTGCTGCTTGACGGTTGGTTGGGCACCACCGGAGGATCACCTCGCCGCTTGCCACCATCTCCCTGATGAAATGCCACCGAACCTGCATGTGCTTGGTGCGGCCATGCAAGCATGCATTCTGTGCAAGGGCAATGGCAGACTGGTTGTCCACAAACACAGGCACACCACCAGCAAACTCATGCCCAAACTCCCCAAACAAACGCTTCAGCCACACACCCTCCTGAATGCACTGACACAGACTGATGTACTCACTCTCAGTGGTAGACAATGCAACCACCGGCTGCCTCTTGCTCTGCCAAGAGATGGCTGCACCATTAAGGCAATAGACATAGCCGGTGTGACTCTTGCGATCAGCTGAATCTCCAGCATAATCAGCATCACTAAAGCCCACCAACTCAACCTGAGGCTTGCTGTGTGCGGGGTAGAATATACCTGACTTGACACAACCTTTCAGGTACCTTAGCACTCTCTTGGCAGCCTGCAGGTGAAATGCCTTGGGACAAGACACCACCTTGGACAGCTGTGACACTGCATAAGCAATCTGGGGCTGTGTGGTCGTGCTTGCATACATGAGAGACCCCACAATACTTTGATAGAGCTGGACCAGCTCATCTCGCAGCAAGGGCTCCTCAGCATGTGCATGCACGTCGAACCCTGTAGGGAGAGGGGTACGCACGGGGTTAGCCTCAGAAAGGCCAAAGGACTCAAGCATGTTGAGAATGTACCTCTCCTGATGAATCAAGATGCCACTCTCATCATGCTCAATCTGCACCCCCAAATAGTACTTAGCCTCCCCCAAGTCCTTCATGCGGAAACGAGAGGACAAGAGACCCTTCACATCGTCCAGCAAGACCATGCTCGAAGACATGAGCAGAATGTCATCCACATAGAGGTAGAGGGACAGCCGGCCCTCATGCCTCACCAAGTGGTACAAGGCGGGGTCACACTCCGACCTCTCAAACCCAAAATCCATCAGCGCCTCGTCAAACTTGAGGTACCACTGCCTTGGAGCTTGCTTTAGCCCATAGATTGATTTCCTGAGTCGGCAAACTCTGCCGGACCCATCATCAAAACCAGGGGGCTGCCTCATGTACAGCTCCTCCTTCAAGACCCCATGAAGATAGGCAATGGTCACATCCATGTGATCGATGTGAGACCCCGAGGATGCTGCCGTCCCAAGGGAACCTCTCAGGGTGGTAGGTTTACCCACTGGGGTATATACCTGGTCATAGTGAACGCCTCGTGTTTGAGTGTTCCCCATGGCCACCAACCTGGACTTAGGACTCTCAATACTCCCATCAGCCATGTGCTTATACTTCCACACCCACTGACACCTCAAGACCTTCATTCCAGGTGGCACACAAGCTGGATCAACCAGCTCAAAAGACTCGTTCACCCTATGAGACTCAAGCTCCGCACTCATGGACTCGACCCACTCAGGACGGGACAAGGCCTCCTTGACCGACTTGGGCTTATGCACCTGACCCATGAGACAGAAATCAAGCCCAAGCTCACCCCCCTCAGCATCCACAAACATGCACTCCTCCAAGTCATGCACCTCATGATCATACATGCAAGCATACTGTGCACTTGGTGTGAACCTTTCAGGTGGCCGGGAGATGCGTGTGGTGCGGCGCAGTGGTGAAGCCTCCCCCTGCTCCAAACTTTGCAGCTTCGCTTTCCAAGTCACTCTCTTCATGGGGGACCGTGGTGACTTGGACAGCTGCTGCTGCAGTAGTTGCTGCCACCTACCCACATGAACGGGCGGTGTATGCTCCTGTGGTGGCTGCTGCGGCTTCTCTTGTTGCTGCTGCTGCTCCTGTGGCTGCTCCGGGTCATGGGCTGGTGCGTTAGGGTCAGGGGTAGAACCAGCAGTTGGTGACTCCTCATGGTGAGGTGCAGCTGCCTTTTGTTCCTCTTGCTGCTCCTCTACCTCCTCTCCAGGGTCCTCCCATGCCCCCTCAAAGATGGAAGAGGTGTAGGGATCCTGAAGGGAGCTCCCAACTGTACTAGCACCATGCTCCTTCCACCCCTTATAGCTCAGCCCCTCGTGGAAAACCACATCCCTGCTTTCCACCACCCGCTGATCCGCCACACTCCACAACATCCAAGCTTTGCTTCTCTCCGACACCCCAAGAAAAATGCCCCATTGTGCCTTAGGATCCAGTTTCCTCCGTTGCTGGTCGGGCACTTTGTACTGCGCCATGCACCCCCACACTCGTGCCATGGACACACTAGGCACCTTCCTGGTCCACATGAAGTAAGGGCTCTTGCCCCCTAGCCCCTTGCTGCCCATTCTATTCTTAACCCAGTTGGCATATTGCACTGCTGCCCCCCACCAAGTATGGTCCAGCTGCGCATGAGCAAGCATGGCTCGGGCAAGGTCAATGAGGGTCCGGTTAAGCCGCTCCGCTGCCCCATTTTGCTGCGGCGTGTAGGCAACTGAAAGCTGGTGGGTGATGCCCTTGTCTTCAAGAAAAGACTCCAGATCCTTCCCCATGTACTCCCCACCCCGATCAGACCTTAGTATCTTCACCTTCGCCCCGGCTTCCCTCTCCGCATAGCGTATCCAACGTTTGAAGACCTTGGCCACCTCATCCTTGGTTTTCACCAAGGTAACCCAACTTAGGCGGCTGAAGTCATCCAAGAAGGTGATGAAGTATTTGCTGCCCTTCTCCCTATCCGGTGTTTGCATGGGGCCACACACATCCGTGTGCACCAACTCAAGAGGTGCGGAGGCTCGAGTGGTGGATGTAGGGAAAGAGGTCCTTGGCAGCTTCCCGGTCGTGCAATCAGGGCACTTGCTTGGCTGCCCACCACCCTCCTTGATCTCCACACCCTTCAGCTCCCCCTTCTTCACACACTCCACAAGTTGCTGCCTTCCTGCATGCCCCATGCGTAGGTGCAGCAAATCTGCCGTCACCTGCTCCACGTCCCTCCAACGGCTGCTACAAGCGGCTTCCTCGGCTTCAACTCCATGTGCCCTCTCCACCCGAGGCACACAAACTAGAACAAGGTATAGACCCTTCTCTAATTTGGCCTCCATCACCACAGCTCCACCCTTGCGAACCGTGCCACCTTCCATGGTGAAGGTGCATATGTATTCTTGCCTCGCAAGTTGAGAGCATGAGAGAAGGTTGGCTGCCAAATCAGGAACATGAAGCACACCCTTCACATTCAGCACCTCCCCCTCCTTCCCCATGACGGTGATGGTGCCGATGCCGATTGCTTGCAGCGTATCTCCGCTCCCCACAATCACATTTCTAGAGTTAGGTGGGAGGGAGTGATAGGTGGTGAAGAGGTCGCGCCGAGGTACCATTCCACAGGTTGCCCCAGAGTCTAGAATGAGCTGATTGGGGTCAGCCAACACACGATCAGCAAGCGCCTTCTCCTTCTCCAAGGATAAGAAGGAGAAACCATCATCCGATGAGTCCTCTTTTCCCTTCTTATTCTCGTTTGCCGCCGTTGCTGCCGATTTCTCTTTGCTGCCCTTCTTGTTCCATGCTCCATTCTTCATCCTCCTCTCCACCCACTCAGGCCTAGTGACAGGTGGAGCCTCTCCTGGGTACCCTTGAGGCTTCCACCCATCAGGACGGCTCCAACACTCCTTCCAAGAATGCTTCCGGTTGCATCCAGGGACGAGGCACT